CCGTTGCACCTGGCAGTGCTTCATTGACTGCAGGAGGCAGAACCTGGGGAAGAGCCAAAGATAGTAAGTAGTATTGAGACAGCCTCCAGAGGAGATGATGTGCCAAGGCTGCTGGGGCAGATGGGCGGGGGCTGGGCTCCCAACTCCTTAGCCCATGCACTTCCTTCCCTCTGCAGCCCTCCCTTTTCATTTGAGTTGCATTTCCTGTCTTGAATATGTCACATTTGACTGAGCGCGCGTGTGTACACGTGCGTGCGCTTGCACCACAGAAACAAAGGCTATGAGATGAGAATAGGGGTTTTGTCAACCTCCTCAGCACAGTAGCTTCTGTGAACACATTACAGACATGGATGAAGACACAGGGGAAGAGGGAGGGAGAGTCAGGAAGAACGCGGGTAGGAAGGAGGAGATGGGGTGCTAACCAAACAGGGGCCTCACTTGATCATCTTGAACAAGTCAGGATCGCTGATTTTGACCGTTCGAGCTACGTTCCAGGACACATGAATCATGGGCACGATGGATTTGACGTTCTTCACCTCGTTCCATTCGTATCGCTCTAGGGCTAGCTGGTACTGATAAGCAGCAGGCCAGAGGAAGTCACTAAGGATTTTCAGACAGCCCCTGGCCCCTTCTTCCGGCAGGCCTTGTGACTGTCCAGACCCACCTCTCCCCAACAGGGCTCACTCCTCATGCCCTTCCCTATACCATGATGACTCAACCCCACCCTCTTACCAGTGAGGGGCCCCACGTTCCAGGCAATGTTGTTGCACCAGCCAGTAGCCTGCACCCAGTGCACAGTCCCTGCATTAATCCACACAAGGTCTCCAGGGCGCTGCACGAAGCGGTAAACAGGAATATTGGACGCATAGAGGTCATCCAAGATTGGCCACCAGGAACCAGTCAAGTAGTCCACACCATGCCTGTAGAGTGGGCAGCCACAGGGTCAGGTGAGAGACCCAAGGACCCGATGGGATGGGGCGACTGACAAAAAGGGTGGTGCGCACCGATCGCAGAAGGCGCTGATAGTCTCCCAGTAGTGCTCATGCACTGCAAACCACTCACAGTCCCCGGGGCCAATGTTGATGTTGACAGAGCAGAAATTGTTATTCTCTTGGTGGCCTGTAGAGGGAGACAGAACGTCACGGATCTGTCTGATGCAAGCCTGCACCCACGATAACCCTGCCCTTTGCCCTCACTGGCTAACAGCTAAGCACTGAGTGCGCACTTCCCGCACCGTGCTCAGGGTGAGAAGCACACCTGGCGTTCGGCTGCCAGGGACCTTCATGTATAGCTGCACAGTGTTCATGCCCAGGATGGTGTGGCCCACATGGCTGAGCATATTGCCTGTGGATGTTACCCGCATGAAGGCGGGCAGCTTCAGCAGCTCCTGTAGCTGGGGCTTCCACCTGTGAACACAGAAATGCCAACAGAGTGAGAGGGTATCCCAGACCAGTACCTAGCAGGGTTTCATCCCAACTTCACTGGTGTAGCCTCACTGACCTTTTGGCATCAGACAGGTCGATGTTAGTGCCAAACTTGATGATATGATGGTTCTTGGGGTCTGGTGCACTGCTGCTGGGGCAAAAGCAGAGAGCTTGTTGGCGAACCAAAGGAGCAAAAGAGCAAAGCCAGAAGGGTCAACATTTATACTTTACCTAGGAGGGGTTCCTGTAGTGCTGTCTGGTTCCTCTGACTCCTCGTCCTCACTCTCCTTCTCTTCCTGCTTGGTCGGACAGGTAGACAGGTCTAGGTCAGTGACTTCCTGATGCCCACTGAAGTCAGACCCCAGCACCCTTGTTACTACTTGGGCATGACCCTCACCTGCAGTGACTCCTGGAAGGATGAAGCCTGGTACTGTGCGTACTTGGCGATGGTGGTGTGTGAACGGGAGCTCTCACAGGGCCAGATCTGCCTTGTACCTGTCAGGTCCCAGTTCTCATCTGAGGGCTGCTGCACTTGGGTGCGGACCTCCACTGTATGTTCCCCACTTGCTTCCACCAGTGTCTTGGTGGAGAAAAGGCCTAAGTCTGTAAGGGAGAGCCAAACAGAATGTCATTCAGGAAAGTTGGCCCAACTCATCCTTTCCCTTCCAACTGGCCAGGCCTCTGATGAAGTGGACATAGATGGGGCAGAACGCAGCACCAAGAATCCCAGCCCCAGGAAGCTGTCAAGGCTGCCTTCTTTGGGTCCTCCCCAGCCCCATTCTTCAACTTCAGGCCTCTGTCTCTCAACTAGAACTCTCAGACTGCAATCAATGAAGGGCAAGTGGCCACTGCAGCAAATGAAAGATGCAGCAGTAGAGCTTGAAATGTCCCTCAAATCACTCAACGGGAGGAGAGAAAGATGCAAGGGTATAAAGGAAACAAGCAATGACCTTTACATTTCTACATAGTCTCCCCTAGTTTTATGCTGTTTAAATTTTTGTACAGTAAAAGATGGAAAAAGAAAAAAGCCAAACCATGGATCAGAAGTCGTCTATGATCCATTCTTTTCATACATTTTGGTTTTTGGAGGCAGGGTTTCTCTGTGTAGCCCTGACTGTCCTGGAACTCACTCTATAGACCAGGTTGGCCTTGAACTCAGAGACCTGCCTGCCTCTGTCTCCAGAGTGCTGGGATTAAAGGTGTGTGCCTGACTCATTCTTTTCATTCTTAAACTCCAGCCACTCCTGAGATCCATCTTCCCATGTGTCACTTCTGGGAACAGAAATGACAGATGAGAAAATCTTAAGGCTGGCTGGCACACCACTCAGAGAGAGCCCTTCTCAAACATGGCCTGTGCATGATTCTGCGGCAAGTCTGAAAGCATTGGTGTGGGGGGGGGGATCTCAAAGGGCTCCACATATCACAACCCTTACAGTCTTGTGCATCCGCCTCCCCCCAGACTCACTGAGCCGAAGTGAACCAGCCAGGCCCCTGATCACGGTGATGGGGTTTCGAGGGTCTGTACAGAATTGTAGCAGCACTGGTGAGAAGGCATCCCGTTTGCTCTCCAACTAAGACAACCAGGAGATACTGGGTCAGAGCCTTTTCCCAGGCTCTAAGTACCCCAATGCAACCCTTCTGGGAAGGGTGGTTCTGGGGACAGACGACATACGTACATAGATGCTGGGTGTAGGGGGGTTGAGTTTTTCCCGGGGCAGCTTCTCCTCAGTGTTGATCTTCGGTTTCACAGACTGGGCAGGGGAGAGCAAGGACTCCCTAAATTTCCCTTTCACCTTGGCATTCCTGTGAGAAGACCACAGAAGAAGGTCAGAAACATGGGGTAATGAGCAGGAGCCTATCCCCCAAAACAAGTGGGCAGCTTTGTGTATTATAGCCCCCAACTCACTTGCTGGCACGCATGACATCAGCAGCACAGTGGCTGATGGTGAGGTCTGCCATGCGAAGCCGCCGCTCTTCCACCTCAGAGGCAATAAAGGTTTCCTTGTCACCACTAGGTACCTTGATGAGCCTGATCTTCAGCTCCTTGGGAGGCCCCTCACTAAGTGACCGGAGCTTCAGCATATCTGCCCGGCTCACACCTGGGGGCCCTGGAGCTTCCTCGCGAGTCTTCTTCCCAGGGACAGGGGCTGATGGGGGTGTTGGCTGAGCAGAGGGTGCAGGAGCAGGTGGGGGCGTTGGAGG